GACCTACAGAACGGAGATTTGACCTACAGAGCGAGACGTGATCTTGTGGATTTGACCTACAGAACGGGACTTGAACTTTTGGACTTGACCTCTAGATTAAATGTTACCTTTACCATTCAGAAGAGGAGAATGACAAGACTAATCGGGCATTAGGAACCTTGAGTACAGAACAGGTTAAAGCATCTTAATTCGCGTTCCTTGAGGGGCGTAGAGTGAGGGGCGATATGATGAGGTGTATAAATGGAAGTAAGTCAGAGCTAAACAAGGTGATATAACAAAGGAATTACTCAAACTATCCAACCACAAACGAACTCGTGACAATGTGGTTTTAAATTAGACAAATTTTAGATTTAGGCGTGAAATAGGTAAACATTGGTTTTGAAAATAGAGTAGTGGACGAGTGGAACAAGTTACCAAACATCATCATTAACTCTAATACACTGGATGGCTTCAAACATAGACTAGGTTGGATGGATATATGAGTCATAGGGTTGGGTGTAAACAGAGACTGTCAGTATGGCCCACTGCGGCTTCCTCCTCCATATGTTCTTATAACTTAGTGATGGGTTTGGGTGGTGGTAGTGATGGTAATGATGGTGATAGTGATGAGGTGTTATGGGCGGGGTGATGGCAATAGTGAAATTGATAGTGATGATGGTGGTAGTGATGGTGATGATGGTGATAGTGATGAGGGTGTGATGGGCAGGGTGATGGCAATGGTGAAGTGATAGTGATGATGGTGGTAGTGATGTTGATGATGGTGTTGTTGAAATCTTATGGGTACATTTTTTTTCAGCTATATAGACACTGGAACTGTAGAGGCTCAGCCGTGGTTCAGCTTATTTCATTTGACGTATGAGAGGGATGAGAGGGGCGGGGGTTAAGGAGGGGTGTGGGAGGGATGAGAGGGTGTGGGAGGGATGAGGAGAGTGTGGGAGGGATTAAAGGCGGAGGAGCGGTTGGCATTCGGTGGATGAGAGAGAGATGATTGGAATTTTGAAGGATGGTTGCGTAGTTGGGTGGGCTTGAGGGTGGGTGGGTGGGTGGGTGACGGGTGGGCTTGAGGGTGGGTGGGTGGGTAGGCGAAGGGTGCCCGGGTTTGTGGGTGGGTAGGCGGGTTGGTTTGTGGGTCGGTGAGTGGTTGCGTTTAGGTGGGTCGGTAAGTGAGTAAATGGGTGGGTGTGTAGGTCAGTGGGTGAATGGGTGGGTTAACGGGTGGGTGGGTGGGTGGGTTAGCGGGTGGGTGGGTGGGTTAGCGGGTGGGTGGAGTGGGTGGGATCGGAAGCTCAAAGGATTAATATTCAATTCAGTGTGTGTACAGTTCCGCCCCCGATATCATTTTCATGTCATTCTGAAGTGTTTTAATGAACCTGTGTGTGTGTGCGTGTGCGTGTGTGTGCGTGTGTGTGCGTGCGCGTGTGTGTGTGTGTGTGCGTGCGTGTGTGTGGTACATAACAGGTAGTTGACCAAAAATTAACCTGTCGACTGTAGCTTCTGGCGGACTGTTGGTGATAGTGATGGTGATAGTGATGGTGATAGTAGTGGTGATAGTGATGGTGATAGTGATGTGGTGATAATGATGGTGATAGTGATGGTGATAGTGATGGTGATAATGATGGTGATAGTGATGGTGATCATGATGGTGATAGTGATGGTGATAATGATGGTGATAGTGATGGTGATAGTGATGGTGATGATGATGAGTGATGGTGATGGTGATAGTGATGGTGATAGTGATGGTGATGATGATAGTATTGATGGTGATGTGGTGATAATGATGGTGATGGTGATAATGATGGTGATAGTGATGGTGATAATGATGGTGATAGTGATAGGGATGGTGATAATTGATAATGATGGTGATAGTGATGGTGATAGGGATGGTGATAGTGATGGTGATAATGATGGTGATAGGGATGGTGTTGGTGATAGTGATAATGATGTGGTGATAGTGATGGTGATGGTGATTGTGATGGTGATAGTGATAATGATGGTGATAGGGATGGTGATGGTGATGAGGTGATAATGATGGTGATAATGATGGTGATAGTGATGGTGATAATGATGGTGATAATGATGGTGATAGTGATGGTGATAATGATGGTGATATTGATGGTGATAATGATGGTGATGGTGGTGATAATGATGGTGATAATGATGGTGATGAGTGATGGTGATAGGGATGGTGATGGTGATGGTGATAATGATGGTGATAGGGATGGTGATAGTGATATTGATGGTGATAGGGATGGTGATGAGTGATGGTGATAGGGATGGTGATAGTGATATTGATGGTGATAGGGATGGTGATAGTGATGGTGATAGTGATAATATTAATGATGGTGATAGGGATGGTGATAATGATGGTGATAGTGATAATGCTGGTGATGGTGATAGTGATGGTGATAGGGATAATGATGGTGATAGTGATGGGTGATAGTGATAATGATGGTGATAGTGATGGTGATAGGGATGGTGATGGTGATAGTGATAATGATGGTGATAGTGATGGTGATAGGGATGGTGATGGTGATGGTGATAGGGATGGTGATGGTGATAATGATGGTGATGATAGTGATGGTGATGGTGATTGTGATGGTGATAGTGATAATGATGGTGATAGTGATGGTGATAGGGATGGTGATGTGGTGATAGGGATGGTGATGGTGATAGTGATGGTGATAGGGATAATGATGGTGATAGTGATGGTGATAGGGATGGTGATGGTGATAGTGATAATGATGGTGATAGGGATGGTGATAGTGATGGTGATAGTGATAGTGATAATGATGGTGGTAGTGATGGTGATGGTGATAATGATGGTGATAGGGATGGTGATGGTGATAGTGATAGGGATGGTGATGGTGATGGGATAATAGTGGTGATAGTGATGGTGATGGTGATAGTGATAGGGATGGTGATGGTGATAATTGTTGGTGATAGGGATAATGATGATAGTGATGGTGATAGTATTGATAATGATGGTGATAGTGATGGTGATAATGATGGTGATATAGCGATGGTGAGTATTAGTGATGGTAGTAGTAACGTTGGTTTTCTCGTGTATCTGCTCCTCCTCTTCCCTCCTCCTCTGCTCTCTCCCTCCCATACATCACTCCTTCTTGCTCTTCTATCCTTCCACCACACCCTCTTCCTCCCCACCATCCCTCTCTTCCACTCCCCTCCATCCCTCTTCCTCCTCCCCTTCCTCCCCCCTCACCTTCCCAGACCAATTTGTGCCTCCACCTGGAGATAATATTGAACCTTTCGGTGAGAAGCCTTCCCATGCTCTACCAGTGAGAGAGAGGTAGGAGAGTAGCCCGTTAAGAAATTATCTTAATCAGCCGGAACCCCGTTATAACATCACCCCATTATAACCTACACCACCCCGTTATAACCTACACCACCCCGCTATAACCTACACCACCCCGTTATAACACACATCACTTCATTTAAGCGACATTTATTTGTGGTGTTGTTCAGTTATCGTCAACAAGGGCAACTACCATCGCTATTTCGTTGGGCCTTGAATCTTTAACTAAAGTTGATTGCTCGATGTTGAATATGCTGAGTGAAGCAATGAATTATGTATGACGAGTTTGCTCTCTCTCTCTCTCTCTCTCTCTCTCTCTCTCCTCTCTCTCTCTCTCTCTCTCTCTCTCTCTCTCTCTCTCTCTCAATAATGCCTGGCTGCAACGTAGGTGGGGAGATAGGGAGGGAATGTGTTAGTAAAAGTTAAATGGCTCGGCATTGTTTACATAAGACAGGTGTTTCTATAGTGGTCGACGTTTCCCGCCAAATACATCAGCTGATTCTGTTTTCCCCGTTAGTTAAGTTAGTTTTGGTTAAGGTTAGGTTAGGTTAGTTAAGTTAGTTTTGGTCAAGGGTAGGTTAGGTTAAGTTAGGGTGATTAATCTGTACTTGATATAAAGTGGGCGGCTAAACCTCCAATACCAATATGGCGGCAAAAATTACACCGAGACTCGACGGTGAGATATAATATGGAGCGACTGGTTAAATATGGAAAAGAAAACATCAACATTCGTAACTTGTATTCGTCATTGTCTACCTCATAATGTGTCTACCCACTTGTCTACCTCATAACTTATCTACCCACTTGTCTACCTCATAACTTATCTACCCACTTGTCTACCTCATAACTTATCTACCCACTTGTCTACCTCATAACTTATCTACCCACTTGTCTACCTCATAACTTATCTACCCACTTGTCTACCTCATAACTTATCTACCCACTTGTCTACCTCATAACTTATCTACCCACTTGTCTACCTCCTCACCTGTATGGTCGATTTCCCAGGTGTTGGTGGTGGTGTCGTCGCTCTTATCATCTTTAGTGTATGACTCTCTTGCTTGTGGAAGTTAGTCGAGTTATATTGTGGTGTGTGAGGGGGGCTGGAGACACTCTGGTATGTTGATTAAAATAGTGTTGTAGCAGCCACTCGTAGAGGTTGTTGCGTCACTCTAACTTGTCGTGACCATCAGTATGTGACGGAGAGGTGAGGTGAGGTGAGGTGAGGTGAGGTGGTGGTGCTCCTGCTTCTAGACACGTAAATCTCAAAGTGTTGCAGGGTTTGACTCTCGCTGTGTGCTGGATTCTGGAACTTGTGTCTCTGTGAATGAGCTCCTGGAACAGCTCGTGGTGGCTCCAGTGTCACCAAGCTTTACTGCTACTTCGAAATTGCCAATGGGGCCACCGTAAGTTGTGAAGCCAGCCGGGGCTACCAATACATTACGGTGGTGAAGCCAACAACACCGCCGCCAGGCTTCGGTACGATTTCGACTCGTCTCATAAGACGTATCAGGACGTTCCGCAGAAGGTTGGTCCACTCAAGAGCCTGGCAGATCGCTGGAGCTTCCTCAGTGGTGCTGCCCATTCTGCCTGGAGAAACCTCGCTCACGCTCTCGTAAGTCCAGCAGCGTCCCTGTCATCCGCATCACCAGACCTCGAAGTCCCGACTCAGACCCGGACAGTGAAGATGAACCCAGGAGCAGCGGAAGGCAGCGTGGAGAGTGGGGGCAGTAGTGGAGTGTCGGGGTCGTGGAGTCTACTGTGAGGGTCCCACAGGGGAATGAGAGCGGGGATGTCCTCAGCCAGGACGGCAGCGGAACTCGATGTCATCGATGAAGAAATCAACGACCCAGAGACTTTGACACCGACTCCATATTGAGTAAAGATTCTGTGCGTAGCAAGGTTCTGTCAGGAGCAAGAAATCAATCAAGTAAGTCCTCAACCGCTGATGGTGAAGTAGACCTCGGTCAAGAGCAAACATGGCAAAGAGTTGGGGAGGTCAGCAAGGAGTCCTTCAGTATGTCGCGAGTCCGTGAATGACACGGAAGGTACCAAGAGACAAGACCCGCTCCTCTGTAAAGAAGATCTTCAAGCACTTCAAACGTAACGCCTCCACGGCGTCCTCGACCTCCTAGTAGTCGAGGAGGAGACAAACGCTCCTCGACCAAATCTTCCTCTTCAGTAGGGTCGCAGACAACGAGGACAACAAGAAGGCCAGTAAGAACTTCTCCCCGCGCGTGCAGAGACAAAAACGCAAGTCCATGACTCTTGACGGTCGAGGACGAGGGTTCAGAGACCAGAGGGTCAGCCACCAGCGAGGTGGTAGGTCAAGAGGTGGAGCTGAGGAAGTAGGTCGACTAGTGAGTGTGTTGAGATGAGGGGACCAGGGCGACCAATGAGGGTGTGGCGCTGAGGGCAACAGGTCAACCACCCTGGACGGTCGAGGCTCAGCAGGAAGGGATCATTGTGATGAGGACGACACAAGAGCCTGACGGAGGGACCCAAGTACACAGGTACAAGTCGACGGCCAAGTTGGGGAAACGAAAACAGTGGGAACGGTGAAGATAGATCCCTCGTCACACACAGAGAAGGATAATATAGAGAGATGAACGGCGTGGCGGTGAAAACCTCAAACTGTCGATCTGGGAGACAAATGGAGAAGGAAATTCGACGCCTCGACACCTCCTGAAAGATCGAGGAAGACGAAGTGGTGTTCATGTCCCTAAAAGTTTGGAATGAAAGGAAAAACAGAGAAGAACAAAGGAAATGAAGAAGAGGAGCAGGGGGGTGAGGGAGGAAGAGTGGGAGAGGGATGGATGAGGAGGGAGAAGGTTGAGTCGTGTCCCCGGAAACACCAGCACAAAAGGACAAGGTTACGACTCCCCAGCAAGCACCACCACCACCATCACCAAGTGGCCCCTGGAGGTAAGATTTTCTCCACCAATAACCTAGTTACGTCATCAATTGTACGTCATTACTTTTATTTGTTTCAGACGTCATAACCTTTTACGATATTATCCTTTACCTGTACAATACCCACGTCATCATCTGCTTACGTCATATTTCGTCCTTTCGTCATCGATTAGTTGTATGATGATACTCACTACCATATGTTTGGTTTTATTTATTTTACGATTTACTGGATATTGATTCTTGTTTCACCTGTTATATTTTTTATTACGTTTTAAGGAGAAACTAAATATTAACGACTTTCTGAACGATAAAAATTCTTCTTCTTTGTTATTTATTTATTTATTATTATTATTATTGTTACTATTATTATTATTATTATTATTATTATTATTATTATTATTATTATTATTATCATAACTATCATAATTATCATCATCATTATCACAAACACGTGAAGTATTGACCCAATACAGGTAGAGGCGAGTGGAAGGGGGGGGTAACACTTGTCCACTACACACATGGATGAATGGATGGATAGATAGATGGATGAATGGATGGATAGATAGATGGATATAGATAGATAGATAGATAGATATTAGATTTTTCATTGACTTCGAGAAACTGAATCTATGTTTTTATGATCGTACTGAGAGAGTGAGGTGTCCAGACAGGTTAGGCTGGGGTTAAGACTGCGTGTAATGTCTCATTCAGATGTCTGGCGGAGCATTAGTGTTCAGTGATCACAGAAGAGGAGAGAGGAGGAGATAGGAGGTGAGGGAGGAAGGAGGAATAGGAGGTGAGAAGGAGGAGGAGGAAGAATGAGGAATAGGAGGTGGGTAGGAGGAGGAATAGGTGAGGAGGAAGGATGAGGAATAGGAGGTGGGGTGGAGAGAGAGAAGGAGGAATAGGAGGTGAGGAGGAGGAGGAATGGGAGGAGGTGAGGAGGAGGAGGAATAGGAGGTGAGAAGGAGGAGGAGGAAGGATGAGGAATAGGAGGTGGGGAGGAGGAGGAATAGGTGAGGGGGAGGAGGAGGAAGGATGAGGGGTTGGAGGTGGGGTGGAGGAGAGGAGGAATAGGAGGTGAGGAGGGAGGAGGAATAGGAGGCGAGAAGGAGGAGGAGGAAGGATGAGGAATTAGGAGGTGAGGAGGAGGAGAATGAGAATAGGAGGTGGGGGAGGAGGAAGAATGAGGAATAGGAGGTGGGGAGGAGGAGGAATGAGTAATAGGAGGTGGGGAGGGAGGTTCGTGGGACAATCCTAGTGAAGCATGTCAGGTTGGGGCATTTCCTGTCTGGTGTTACCTCCTCCCCTCCTTCCCCCTCCTTCCCTCAGAATACCTATTATACCTATACCTCTCCCACCCCCTGTTCCATTGTCTCCCTCCTCCCTCCCTCCCTCCCTCCTCTTCTCCTAACCATCCCACTTTTCCCCTTGGTCAATGTACGCCCCCCCCTCCTTCCTTATCTCACGCTACATGGTCCAGTGTAACCTCCTCCCTTTTCCCGGTCCATTAGTCCTTTGTAACCCCTTCTCCTCCTCCTCCTCCTTCCCTCCTCCTCCTCCTTCCCTCCTCCTCCTCCTTATCCTCCTCTTCTTCCCTCCTCCTTCCTTACTTCTCCTCCTCCTCCTTCTCGTTAAGATTCTCCTATTTAAACATCCATTTCCTACCCCATTTCCTCTCCTCTGTTTAATTCCTCCTCCCCCCTCTCCTCCTCCTCCTCCCCTCCTCCTCCTCCTCCCCTCCCTCCTCCTCCCTCCCCACCTCACTTCCTTTCCGCCCACCACGACCCATACAAACACCCCCTTGTACATACAAACATACACATTTACAGTATACTCACACAAGGCTCTCTCTCTCTCTCTCTCTCTCTCTCTCTCTCTCTCTCTCTCTCTCTCTTTTTCAAACCTTCAGAACTACGGCGTTAACCAATGAGAGCCTCAAGGTGGAAGCTTGGTACGTACATATTACACCTTCCCCAATTAGTCACCTCTAATTACCCCATTTAAGAAGTGACGTAATTACACAAGCCTAATGAAGGTATGATATAGTATATGTGATTATTACGTAGGTGTTTGTGTGTGTGGGGTAGGTGGGGTAAATGAGGAGGAAATATATAATATGACTCGGCAGCTGAAACATCGCCTGGGGATCAGGAATACCGCCAGGAAAGTGAGTCACTCTCTCTCTCTCTCTCTCTCTCTCTCTCTCTCTCTCGTGGGTGTGTGTGATGGAGAGGGAAGGCATAGAAAGGAAGACAGCGAGAGATTAAAGAGAATGAAAGAAGAGAGAGTGCGAAGCAAAGAGAAAGAAACTCACTCCACTCACTCCTCCTAGTACTGACAGCACAGGAACCATGGGTAGATGGTAGGAGGCGAGGACTAAAAGTAGCGATCCTCAGAAATAACAACTAGGTGTCCCTGCCCTGAGACACACCTGACCAAGCTGACTGTGGCTATCTTGGCTCTCAGGTACACACGCTGGGGTGTGAGGTGAGGGCGTGACAATATACAGGTGTTGACAGGTAGATATAGGTGTTGATAGGTAGGGTTCAGGTGTTGATAGGTAGATGTACAGGTGTTGACAGGTAGAGGTTCAGGTGTTGACTGGTAGGGTACAGGTGTTGACAGGTAGCTTCAGGTGTTGACAGGTAGAGGTTCAGTTGTTGACAGGTAGATGTACAGGTGTTGACAGGTAGATGTACAGGTGTTGATAGGTAGAGGTACAGGTGTTGACAGGTAGAGGTACAGGTGTTGACAGGTAGAGGTACAGGTAATAAGTACTTGGTGTAATTAATTCTGCAGGAGGTGACGGTGTAAGTGTTTGCTAGCGACAACCATTAAGGGAGGGATACACTAAGGAGAGGAAGCCACTAAGGGATTGATTGAATGATTTTGGTTAGGCAATTTTGTTTAGCCAGAAAGCCACAGATACACAGTGGGTAATAATAACATTGTGTATGGTACAGAGCCAGTTGAAGACCACAGAGGTCTCTTTGGGGCACCTAGTATACTGTATACTATACATTTATCTCAAGGAAGTGTTATGTAACATTTAGTATCATCTGGAACAGTACAATAGCATAGTAGTAATAAGAACATGTTACCACGGTTATCACTTCAATATTTATTTTATTTTTTATTTATTTATTTATATAATGCATATATACATACATATATACATATACACATATACAGGGTATATATATACATATACTGTATACAGTAATATATATATATGTACAGTATATATATATATATATATATATATATATATATATATATATATATATATATATATATATATATATATATATATATATATATATATATATATATATAGAGTACAGTGGAATTTATTATAAGTATAATGGGGGAGCAGTACAGCCTGGGTTGTACAGTAATAGGTTGAACAAGGATAGAGCTTTCAGTATTATCTGGTTAGCAATTATGCTTGTTGCAGTAGTGAGTACTTATTTATTTACTGATAATTTCCGTGAACGGATTTGATGGCACAATAAAGCAGGTACTGTAAATATATTAAGTGTTACAAGAAGTATTAATACTTCGACCAATAGATATTTTTAGAGATGATGATTTAAAGGGAGGGAGCCTAGTCTTTGCTTTAGGATATTAATGAAGAATAAGTTTGAACACACCTTCACCATGATGTTTTATGGCGGTCTGGGACTGAGAGGGCGCATGGGGGTGGTCTTGAAATGACTCTGGGTGCCTTAAAAGTCGTATCTCTGATTGTTCGGAACTGGAAATATTAATTAGTGTCAAGCAAGTGATTGATGATTTATGAAAAACAAAGAGGGCACAGCAGTAGGTGTTAATATCTTCAATTTTAAGAATTTTCAATATAGCAAATTTTCGTTTGTGTGATCTGTTTTTTCAAGTAAGTCATTGTCCAATACAACTCTCTTTTGTGCAGTAACCAGAGGTGTGTTTTTGAAGGCAGTGGCCCCCATAGATGTGACAGTATCAGGTGTTGGTAAATAAGATCATGATAGATTTCTTTCATTGCTGTGAGTGGTGACTGTCGGGTGGTACGTGATACACTGTTTATTGGTTTTCTGTAAGATGAAGCGGCATGGTTTCTCCAGTTAAGTTTCTCATCCTTAATAACTCAAGGAATTTAGTATTTTGTTCGCGTTTTAGGGACTATATTACCAAAAGGTACAGGGGTTTAAGTCTGGGTAAATTTTCATACTGTGAAAGATAATTAGTGGGTTTTCTCAGGTTTAGGTCAGTTTATTACGTATTGCAGGTCCCCGACTTGGAGTTAATTCAGTGTTCATAGTTCTCATCAAGGAATGGAGGTCAAGTTGCTGGCATAAATTACTATCGTCACCAAATAAGTTGTATTTTATGGAGTGTGCTGGCGTGGACTATGTCGTTTATGTACAACAAAAACAGTTCTGAACCAAAATTGAACCTTGGGGACTCCTACAAGATTGTGGCGAGAGTTAGATTAGTGGTTATTACTGCTTAGACATACTGCTTCCTGTTGGACAGATATGAGGTAGAAGCCAATTGTGGGACAGGCCCTAACGCCGTAATGTTCCAGAAGCTTTGAAGGAGGGGATGGGTATGGTCGACAGTATCGAAGGCTTTAGAGAGGTCCAAGAATATACCCAGGCGACTGACAGACTGACTGTTATCAAAGGAATTTAAGATGTGTCATTAGTAAGGAATGTAGAGGCCTCTCAGTCGACCTTCTAATCTAATCAAACTGGGAGTCTGTAAAGATGTTATTGGCATTGCAGAATTTGGTCTACATGCTAGCTTTTTCCAGTATCTTACTCAAGGCTGGGAGGGACTGATATGGGGCGGTGGTTCTTGAAGAGACCTTTGTCCCCAGATTTTTTTATATGCCGGGTGGACTTTAGCAATTTTCAGTTTATCAGGAAAGACACCACTAGTGAAGGAGGAGTTACAAATGTGGAGGAGAACAGGTAGTAATAAGTGGGCCACTTTCTTAATGATGCTCATTGGTATGTTAATGTACTTCTGCTGCATCTTTGGAAATTTTATGATGGCCAGTAATTCATCTGCTGTGACAGAGGGGATAAGAATAGTTCATTTTGCTGTCTGTTTTGCAGGTAGGCTCTAAATTCCTCATAGTGATCTGGGATGCTCTCTGCAGATTTTTGCTAACATTAATAAAATATTCATTGAAGTGGTTGGCAATGAGGGAGGGTTCGTTATCTTCTTCTAGATCATTTATCATAAAAAGCTAGTGGGGCCAAGGCTAGTGTTCCCTGTTCTGGAATAGAATTTATGACATTCAGGTTTCTTACTGTCGCCTGATGCTGACTGGAGCTTATTTGTATAATAGTTACGTCTGGCATTTCTAACTGGCAGGGCACATATTTCTGATATTTCAGTAAGCTTATCACCGAAAGTTATGGGTCTTTGCAAATTTCCTTTGGTTTTGTTTTTTCTTTTTATCATTATCTTAATTTCGCTTGTGATTTAGGGTTTGGAAATGGATACAGTTTTCCTTAGTAGTCTTGAGCTTGGAAGCATTTATCCAGCAAACGTGAAGATGCAGAGATGTTGCAGCTGTTCACGTTAGGATTGTCGGGCATGGGCAAGATCCCAGTTAGCATCCATTAGTTGTTTTTAAAAGGAGCATGTTGTCGGTGCAGTAGTCTCTGTATTGGATTGAGACTCTACCTGGGCCTTTCCAGGTCTCGTGGCTGTTTATACATGGCAAAACTGGGAAGTGATCTGAGATATTGTTATAAATAATTCCACTTACTAGAGTTTGTTAAGAGTGTTGTTAGTCCAGATATGATCTATCACAGTGGCAGAGGTGAGCAATTACTCCTAGTGGGTTTGGTTATAGTGTTGAAGAGCTTAGAATGACAGGTATAAGAAGGTCTAATATTGAGGTGTCGGTTTCTGATTTTAATAGATCAAGGTTATGAAATCTCCTGTAATGTAGCAATGTTTCCTCTCTGAACTTATTATAGTGATAAGCTCCGAAAAATTTATCAAGAAAATTCCCCTTACATTAGTGTAGGGTCTTCACCTTAGGTACTCCTACTAGGATATTTCGTGTCATTACGTAATTCAATGAAAACACTCTCCCTGTACTCCTCCTGAATATTTAAATCATCTCCTTACAGAGAACCGCACTTAGGAGAGAGCCACTAGGGAGATAGCCATTAAGAGAGGGAGCCACTTACAGGGAGCCACTTGGGAGAGCCACTAAGGAGATAGCCATTAGAGAGGGAGCCACTTGGGGAGAGAGGCCCACTAAGGAGGCCACTAAGGGAGATAGCCATTGAGAGGGGAGCCACTTGGGAGAGAGCCACTAAGGGAGATAGCCATTAGAGAGGGGCCACTTAGGGGAGAGAGCCACTAAGGAGATAGCCATTAAGGAGATAGCCATTAAGGAGAGGGAGCCACTAGGGAGATAGTCATTGAGAGGCCACTAAGGGGGAGAGCCACTAAGGAGATAGCCATTAAGAGAGATAGCCATTGGGAGATAGCCATTAAGGGAGAGAGCCACTAAGGGAGATAGTCATTAGGGAGGAGCCACTAAGGGAGAGAGCCACTAAGGAGATAGCCATTAAGAGAGCCACTTAGGGAGGCCACTAAGAATAGCCATTAGGGGAGATAGCCATTGGGGAGAGAGAGCCACTAAGGAGATAGCCATTAAGGAGAGAGCCGTTAGGAAGCCACTAAGGAGATAGTCGTGGGGAGGGAGCACTGGGGGGAGAGCCATTGGGGAGGGAGCCACTAGGGGAGATAGCCATTAGGGAGAGGGCCACTAAGGGGAGAGCCACTAAGGGAGGGAGCCACTAAGGAGATAGTCATTAAGGAGGGGAGCCACTAGGGGAGGAGCCATTAAGGGGAAGCCACTAAGGGAGATAGTCATTAGGAGAGGGCCACTAAGGAGATAGCCATTGGGGAGCCACTAAGGAGATAGTCATTAAGGAGGGAGCCACTAAGGAGATAGTCATTAGGGAGGGAGCCACTAAGGGGAGATAGTCATTGGGAGAGAGCCACTAGGGAGAGGCCATGGGGAAGCCACTAAGGGAGATAGTCATTAGGGAGGCCACTAAGGAGATGGCCACTAGGGAGAGAGCCACTAAGGAGATAGCCACTAGGGAGGCCACTAGGGAGGGAGCCACTAAGGGAGATAGCCATTGGGAGAGAGCCATTGGGAAGCCACTAAGGGAGATAGTCATTAAGGGAGGGGAGCCACTAAGGAGATAGCCACTAAGGGGAGGAGCCACTAAGGAGATAGCCACTAGGGAGGAGCCACTAAGGAGATAGCCATTAAGGGAGAGAGCCACTAAGGGAGAGAGCCATTGGGGGAAGCCACTAAGGGAGATAGTCATTAAGGGAGGGGCCACTAAGGGAGATAGCCACTAAGGGAGAGAGCCACTAGGGAGGGGAGCCACTAGGGGAGATGGCCATTAGGGAGAGAGCCACTAGGGAGAGAGCCATTGGGGAAGCCACTAAGGGGGATAGTCATTAAGGGAGGGAGCCACTAAGGGAGATAGCCACTAGGGGAGAGAGCCACTAGGAGAGAGCCGTGGGGGAAGCCACTAAGGAGATAGTCATTGGGAGGGAGCCACTAAGGAGATAGCCACTAGGGAGAGAGCCACTAAGGGGAGGGAGCCACTAAGGGAGATAGCCATTAAGGGAGAGAGAGGCCACTAAGGGAGAGAGCCATTAGGGAAGCCACTAAGGAGATAGTCATTAGGGAGAGCCACTAGGGAGATAGCCACTAAGGAGAGAGGCCACTAAGGAGATAGCCACTGGGGAGGGAGCCACTAAGGAGATAGCCATTAAGGAGGGCCACTAGGGAGATAGCCATGGGGAAGCCACTGGGGGAGAGAGCCACTAAGGGGATAGCCATTAGGGGAGCCACTTGGGGAGAGAGCCACTAAGGAGATAGCCATTGGGGAGCCACTAAGGGAGAGAGCCACTAAGGGGAGATAGCCATTAAGAGGGAGCCACTAAGGGAGAGAGAGCCACTAAGGAGATAGCCATTAGAGAGAGGGAGCCACTAAGGAGAGCCACTAAGGAGATAGCCATTACGAGAGGGGGAGCCACTAAGGGAGAGAGCCACTAAGGGGAGAGGCCATTAGAGAGGGAGCCTGAGGCTCGCTTCCTACTAGGGCGGTGAAGGAGGAAATTACCCAAACGAACTGTTTTCCCCAGACCCCGGTTCCCCTCAGACCTGGGTTCCCCCGGACCAAGTTCCCCAGACCTCGGTTCCTCCCAGACCCCGAGTTCCTCCCAGACCCCGATTTCTCCCTAGACCCCGAGTTTCCCCAAGACCCCCGAGTTCCCCAAGACGGGGTTCCCCTAGACCCCGAGTTCCCCCAAGACCCCCAGGTTCCCCTCCCAAGCCCCCGAGTTCCCCGGACTCCCGAGTTGCCCCAGACCCTCGGGTTCCCCAGACCTCGAGTTCCCCAGAAGACCCCGGTTCCCCTAGATCCCGACCTCCCCCAGACCCTCGAGTTTCCCCCAGACCCGAGTTCCCCCGGACCCCAAGTTCCCCCAGACCCTCAGTTCCCTCCCAGACCCTCGAGTTCCCCTAGACCCCCGACCTCCCCAAGACCCCGACCACCCCCAAGACCCCGAGTTCCCCAGACCCGGGGTTCTTATCGACAGTCGTGAGTGGCAGGCAGGCAGACTGAGCTATTGGGGCTGGAGGAGACGTCTGTCGGAAATGTTAGCCCACTTGAAGGAGGAGCTACCGAGGGGCCACCACAATGAAGGCGTGTTGAAGGTGGTATTCTTGGAGCTATCTGGGGCACTACTGACGAAGGTGTGGGGGAGGTGCTATTAACCAGTACCAAAGGGGCTATTAACGCCCTCTATTGGTCGTGGAAATTATGGAACGTCATCTATTGGTCGTAGGAAATGAAGGACGTCTTCCAATGGTCGTATGAGAATGAGGGACGTCTTCTACTGGTCGTAGGAAGTGAGGACACTTTCTATTGGTCGTAGGAAGTGAGGACACTTTCTATTGGTCGTAGGAAGTGAGGGACACTTGCTTTGGTCGTAAGTGAGGACACTTTCTATTAGTCGTAGGAGTGGGGACACTTTCTATTGGTCGTAGGAAGTGAGGGACACTTTCTATTGGTCGTAGGAAGTGGGGACACTTTCTATTGGTCGTAGGAAGTGAGGGGCTTATCTATTGGTCAGAGGGGTTAATTTATGATGTCATTAATTGATCTGCTTGATTACATAATTTATTTTGTAATTATAAGTAAATACTGTACGTTACCTGTTTCATATTCCAACAATAAAGTTTCAGATGTATTTTATTAATGTTGTAATTATTGTTTGCTGTTGTTGTTGTTGTTATACTTGTATTTGTGTTGCTGTTGTTGCTTTCGTTTGTTTCTGCTTTTGTTGTCTTTGTTCTTTTTATTCTTGTTGTTGTTGGCGGCATCACGGGCTCTTAACAACCTATTATTACTTGATGTAAATTAAAGGGAGGGAGGTTGTGGAATTTGTCGTAAGGGAGTTGAACTCTTAGGGAGTGTATCAAGTAGGTGCGTGTTCTTCAAGGAGGGGCCTCTGAGTCACCAGTAACTCGCTAGGATCTGAAATGCAATTGGCTAACCTCTGTGACGTCATATGAATCTGAAACGCCATTCGCTAATCAGTATAACGTCATGTGGATCTCTGAAACGCCATTGGCTGACCTCTTGACGTCACTGGTAAGTCGCTTAGATATATGAGTGTTATTGGCTACTGTCCTTGACGTAACGAGGGATTCATGGAAACAAGTTATTATGACTTTCAGAAAAATATCTGATTATTTTGTTCAAGTCCATGGAACTGGTGTTGTGTGTGTGTGTGTGTGTGTGTGTGTGTGGAGACACTCCAGGTTACTTCCCTAAAAGATTAAGCATCCCAACCTTAGCCCAACCCAGCAACCCAACCCAGCCCAGCCCAGCCCAGCCCAGCCAGCCCAGCCCAGCTAGCCAGCCAGCCCAGCCAGCCCAGCCCAGCCCAGCCCAGCCAGCCCAGCCCAGCCCAGCCCAGCCCAGCAGCCCAGCCCGGGGAGCCCAGCCCAGCCAGCCCATTATTGTTGTTATTGTTGTTGTTGGTATTATTGTTATTATTATTATTATTATTATTATTATTATTGATTATTATTATTATTATTGATATTATTATTATTATTAATTATTAGTATTATTATTATTATTATTGATTATGTATTGATTATTATTGGTGTTATTATTATTATTATTATTATTATTATTGTTATTGATTATTATTGTTGTTGATTATTGATGTGATGATATGATGATTATTGATTATGATTGTTGTTGATTGTTATTGATTGATTATTGTTGATTATTGTATTTGTGTTTGCAGCCCTGCAGGTGATCCCAGATAACTAACCTTTATGGGTTGTAATCAGTTCTCACCTGGAGAACTATAATGATGACAAAGAGTTTATTAGTGTTATGTGTTGTCATTATGGAGGGAACATCAGTAGTATTAATAACAGGAAGAACAATTATAACAGTAGTAATAACAATAACAACAACAACAACAACAATAATATCATCAACAACTACAATAATAACAACAATATATCAACAACAATAATAACAACAACAACAACAATAATAACATCAACAACTACAATAACAACATTAATAACAATAACTACAATAATAACAAAAATATAACATCAACAACAATAATAATAACAACAACAACAGTGGTACTAATGCTCATCACACGATCACAATATTACACACACACACACACACACACACACACACACACACACACACACGCTCTGATAACCATAAGACCGCCAAGTTCAATGATTCTGTACCTCTTGATTCTGTTGACTCTATGGCAAGGTTAAAATTACGGGCATTAGTGCTCATTATCTTATGTTTTCGTTCAAGATGAGTGATGGATGTTTATTTATATATATACGACGAAACAATAAGAAAACGTATATAAACCAGCTGCTATGACGGTGATTTGGGTACGATGGTTTGTGGTTTTAAGTTTAATGACGTTATTAGATACGTTTCACTCTATCCGAGGTTTATTTTTTTTTAACTGAGGAACTAGTTAGAATCCATTTTGTGTTTAACTTTAACGAAGATATTAATTTAACCTATTCACCTCTTGAGAATCCATGTCGTAGCGTAACTTTTGAGCCGGATATATGCGTTCTTACATCACCACTTAAGAGGAGATTCGAACTTGTCATCTGTGTTGAGGAAAGTGAGCTCAGGTAGGTCAAGGTCATTCAAAGGTCACGGGACAATTTTTTTTTTTGTAGTGGGGATGACACTTGTTTGAGGTCAATGTGAGCGTTGGTAGCATTGCAAGCGTCTCTCTTTTCTCCACCTGGCTCGTCACTGGGCGTTGGTGCTTACTGTGGGCATAGACTTGTGGTCTCCTATCTCTCTCTCTCTCTCTCTCTCTCTCTCTCTCTCTCTCTCTCTCTCTCTCTCTCTCTCTCTCTCTCTCTCTCTCTCTCTCTCTCTTTCTCTCTCTCTCTCTCTCTCTCTCTCCACACTCCCCTCCACACTCCCCCCTCTCCCCTCCCGCCCACCTCCCCACCACTCCCCCACCTCCCCTCCCTCCCCCTCCCTCCCTTACTTTTCTCCCCACCTCCCCTCCCTCCCCCCCTCTCCCCCCCCCACCTCCCCACACACACTCCCCCCACACACCTCCCCACCTCCCCCCCCCACCTCCCCCCACCTCCCCCACACCTCCCCCACCTCCCACCCCTCCCCCACACCTCCCCCACACCTCCCCCCTCCCCCTCCCCTCCTCCCGCCCACTCACCTTTTTCCCCTCCACCCTCATGCTCCCCCTCCTCTTCCCTCCCCCACTCCCTCCCCTCCACCTCCCCCACCTCCCCTCCACCTCCCCTCCCCTCCCCCTCTCCCCCCCTCCCCCCTCCCCACCCTCCCACCCTCCCACCCCTCCCCCTCCCCTCCCCACCTCCCGCCCCACTCCCCCCTCACCTCCACCTTCCCTCCACCCTTCCCCCTTCCCCACCTCCTCTTCCCCTCCCCCCCTCACTCCCCCTCCCCTCCATCCTTGTCCCCACACCTCCTCCCCCACCTCCTCCCCACTCCTCCCCCCTCCTCCCCCCACACCTCCCCTCCTCCCCTTTCCCCTCCACACCTCCCACTTGTCCCCACCTCCTCCCCACCTCCTCCCCCACCTCCTCCCCCACACCTCCCCCCCACACCTCCCCACCTCCCCCACACCTCCCTTTCATCTCCTTTTCAAGTCCTGGAATAAGAACAGAATGTGAATTTTATGAGCTAAAGCTGAGTTCAAATGTGTTATTTTATGTGTGTGTGTGTGTGTGTGTGTGTTAAGTGTGTGTGTGTGTGTGTGTGTAAGTGTGTGTGTGTTATAATGTGTGTGTGTGTGAGTGTGTTTTGTGTGTGTGTGTGTGTGTGTGTGTGTTAAGTGTGTGTGTGTGTTGAGTTTTGTGTGTGTGTTAAGTGTGTGTGTGTGTGTGTGTGTGTTAAGTGTGTGTGTGTGTGTTGTGTGTGTGTGTGTGTGTGTGTGTGTGTGTGTGTGTGTGTGTTGGTACTAAAATTGTGAGTTGAATTTACAGGCGAATGATATTGACTTTGTTGTATTTCATATTATTATTATTATTATTGTTGTTGTTGTTGATAATATTATCATATTTGTTTATATTTAGAATTTTGTTATTTTATTTAGTTCTTTTTTATGTTTTATTTAGTTTTGTCATCATTCCTCTCTCTCTCTCTCTCTCTCTCTCTCTCTCTCTCTCTCTCTCTCTCTCTCTCTCTCTCCACTCCCGCTGTGTTGACCGACATGACCGTGACCTGACCTCTGACCTTTGTCCCGGTCGTGAAGATTCTTAAACCCGCCGAGGTGGTGTTTACGAGTTTTAGTGAAATGGTATACTGAGAAATAGCTCTCTCTCTCTCTCTCTCTCTCTCTCTCTCTCTCTCTCTCTCTCTCTCTCTCTCTCTCTCTCTCTCTCTCCTCCCTCCTCCTCCTCCTCCTCCTCCTCCTCCTCCCTCCTCCTCCTCCTCCTCCTCCTCCTCCTCCCTCCTCCTCCTCCTCCTCTCCTCATGCTGCTCCTCCTCTTCCTTTTTTCCTTCCCTCATCCTTTCCATTCTCCTCTACCTTTCTTCCCCCTCCTCCTCCCCACCTGTCTTCCTCCTCCTCCCCCACCTGTCTTCTTCCTCCTCCCCACCTGTCTCCTCCCCCTCAGCATGAAGGTACTAACTCCCAAGTTCCCGAGAGGAAAATCCTCCCCAAAGTTTACCGGGAAACAACGACATAAACTCCTCCAAACATTAATTCCACGACTTGCTCTTTTGTTTTCCTTCCTCACTTTTCCCCCCAAAGTCCAGTTGTCTGTTTTATGCTTTTTTATTTTATTATTCACTTTTTTTTTTATTTATTTTTTTACTTTTTTGGATTGTTTTTGTTTTCTGTTTGTATTGATTTTTGTTTTGGTTTGTTTCTTTTTTACGTTTATACTGTTTGTTTGTTTGTTTGTTGTTAATGCTGTTTGATATTGTTGTTTACTATTGTTACTTATTGTTGTTGTTTCCTGCCGTCTGTTGTTTACTGCCGTCTCTTGTTTTACTGCCGTCTCTTGTTTCACCTGCGTCTCTTGT